TACCCGGTGAACAACGCGTGCCAAGATTCGTCGGCTCGCCCAGGGCCAACAGAATAACCGAAGTATTTTGCCATGTCCGCGATCGCGAAAAAGCCCCAGCTCGGGGCAAGCTGCGATAATCTCGCCCGGATATCCGCGACGCCCTGGAAGGGGGGCGGGGCGGGCGCGCATTTACGAACGTCGAGGCGGAGGCTGGAAAATCGACGAAAACCGCCAGACGCTAGACCAAACATTGGCCGACGTCAGACGAAAGATTCGGCGAGGCCACGGCCGAGTCGTCGGCGCCAGGTCTGAGCGTTCACGAGGGGCCCCCCTGGGTGATCCGTCGGTTGAGCACGTCCGCGGCTGCGGCGAAGAGCACCGGGGACAGCGGGCACCACTTCCGCGCGCCGCTGGCGACCGTAAAACCCGCAGCGCTGGGGACCCCCAAAGACGATGTCGCGCGCATTGTTGGCGCGGAGGAGCTCGATCAGCTGGGGCGCCCCAAGCGGCCGCCCGAGATCCCCGGATACGACCGCGAGGAAGCCGCGCTCGATCGGCGGGAACGCCGCGGCAAAGTCGAAAAAGATGGCGCCCGCCTCGCCCGAGGCGCACCCGCTCAAGGCGACGGCCTCGTCGGCGCCCACCAGACTCGCTAACGCGGAGAGGCCCCCGATGAAGCCGCGCTTCTATGGAAGCGCCCACCAGGAAGTTCAATCAGCAGCCTCGCGGCGTCGCAAATTAAACGGTCGTCCGCATTTGTCACGCTCAAGGGGCGCGCGTTCTCGGGGTCGTAGAAACCGCCGCTGCCCCCCGCGTGCCCCGAAATCTTCTCGGGCAATAAGAACAATAAACTCTCGGCGAAGTCCGCGACGGCCTCATCCGAAATCCCAGGGCCGCCCCCATCCATCAAGCGTTCGGTGGCCTCTATCAGGGCGCTCGCGGATAGCTCCAAACGCCGACGCCAGGCGCCGAGAAAAAGAATCCCATTCGGGCCGGGCGCCGCATTGCCAGACTCGCGAGGCGCCCGCGCGAAATGCCATCTACGCAGTCGCCACCTCGAGCGCCGGAGGGGCGGCAGTTCGCTGAGCGGCCTGGCGTCGCCGCCCTCCTCAGGGCGCGTTCGACGTCGCTCGCGCCCTTGGCTTGGAATGCCTTCGCCAAATGGTTCTTGAGCGAGGCCGCAATGGACGAGGGATGGGCGACAACGTCGCCGTCTAGCCGTCTGATAGCAGAAACCAGACCCGCGCGACCCAGCGCGAGCCGAAAAATATGTCGGGCGTTCCTATGGCGGGCCTTATTGGCGGCGAAGGCGTCGCGACCCGCAAGCTGAGCGCGGGGTTTTCCGAGCTCGTCGATGGCGCGCTCCTCGGCGAGCCCCCGAGCATGCTGGCGCAGGCCGTTCAACGACCGCGATCGACTGCCCATCGCGTCGCACGGATTCCGGGCGATTTCGCGGAGGCTGGCGCAGCGGGAGAAGCACTGGGAGATATCGCGCTTCCAATATTCCTAGATGGCCCTGATAAGCTCGAGCGCTACCCCGAGGCGGTCCTCCATGGAGACTGCTGGAGGCACGCGCGGCGACTCGCGCTCTAGACGCACAGCGACCGTCCGCGTGTAGTCCACGTATAGCGCCAGCCTGGCCATGGGGCCTCTGTCTGGATCGTCTCGCAGTTTCTCAAAGTACACTTGGAACAACCGCCTCGGGAAGTCATCGTGCAAGAGCTTTTTTTTAGACGAGGGCCGGGCTGCATCGCCAGATCTCCCGGGCGTGCGACGAGCGAAACACACAGGGCGGCGGAGAGAGAGATCGCGACGCCAATCGAAAGCGGAGACCTGGAAAGCCCTTTCGAACTGATCCGCGACGGGGGGACATTGGCGCATGGCTGGCCCAGCTTCGCACGTGACGAAGCAGATGCGTGAGTACGCCCTGCTTGAAACAATTCGAACAACTCCTCCCTCCCGCGAACCGCGTCCTGAAAATGCATCCTCTCAGAGCTGTCCCGCCTGCCGCTATAGGCGGCCGACGGGACAGATACTCGGTCCTTCGCGTCAGCCACGCAGTTGATGCCCCCGCCCACGACTGTAAGAACGTCGAGTCGCGGTGCCACAGCATCGCCGACACGTCGCCAGAGCAGGTGCCGAAGGCCCCCGGAGGAAGCGATGCCAGCTCTCAGTGCTTCTGGGACCCCAGCCAGATCGTGCCCAGCAGGTTGAGCACGTGCCCAATATTTTTTGTTTCATATGTATATATATATATATATAACTACAATTATATCAAGATCGCCAGAAGCTCCTCGGAGTGAAAGCTCGGCGGCGCGACCCCGCCAGATGCGCGCCCAGCGCGGGGCGCCGTGGAACTGCTGGAGGAGCGCGTCGCGGACAGGAGCGCCGACTCCCGCAGTCCCCAGAGCGGGGCCCCGGGACCAGAACGCCGTGGTGCCGCAGAAGTGGGAAAACAATACACTCAAACAAGCTCTAAACAAAAACTTAGGTGGGCCAGATAGCTCTGTATGTCATTCATCCGATGGAGAAGATCGACAACTCGTACTCATAAAAAACCTGGCGAGGCTTCATTTAACATCGCCAGACCTGATTCGCGATCTCCGTGACGTGAACCTCCGCAAGCATCAGGACGTCGGCTTCGCTCACGAGCGCGGAAGCGCATTTCGCTCTGACCTCGTGGCCTCCACGGGCCGGCGCAAAAGAAAACCTGAGCGTTCGAGGTGATCACCGAAGTGTCCCCACCGAGCTGCCCCCGTCAAGCACCCTCGGCACAATGAGTAGGGGGCCACATGCAAACCCTACCCCCACCCCCCACGACTTCTGAGGGGGAGGGTGGGGTTCACTTCGTTCGGGAGCTCCCGAGCGAAAAGAACCCCACGCTCCCCCTCGGAAATCGTGGGGGGCGGGGGTAGGGCTCGCATGTGGCCCCCTGATGAGGTGGACGAGGAGGCCGAGGAGCGGAAAAAAGCAGACTGCGATCACTAGGTAAGCAGCCCAGCGCTCGCAGTAACCGCTGTCGATGGTAAATCGCAACAGGTATGTCGAAATCCACCTCCCGAAAGTTGCCCGGGCCAGCAATAGTGTCAGGGATAAGCTCGCGCTCGTCAAAAAAATGACGGAATAACAAAACGAAAAAACGATCGGGTGGAGAAACGGGTAGACGTGGGAGGAAACCGTAAGAATGCGATTGGAAAGATGTGGAGGAACTGGGCGCTGAAGCCCGCTCCATCAGGCACCTGGCGGTCCAGCAGCGTCGCCACCGCAGCGTGGAAACTGAAGAAAACCAAGCACGAGTAAGAAGAAAAGCCCTCCATGTCAATGCAACGAATACTGGCGAACTCTTGAGAACCATGCAAGTAGTGCCCCATGTGGTCCAGGGCGCGGTCGGCACTCAAGCCCCCGTCCCCGAACAGCCCCCCGAGGTACGTATATCCACCAAGTCGATGAGGACCTCGATGCCGACCATCTCCATGCCGATCTGAATGGCTTGGCCATGAAGGGCGGCGTGCAGACGATAAACCTCCTCTGGAGAGTGGGTGATGAATTTGATGATGCCTGATGGCGTGCGAGGGTCCCTGCGGTGCTCGTGCACGCATTGTCCTGCCTTGATGTTGAGGGGGCCCTTGGCCGTCATGATGTGCATGCCTGTGCTCTAACAGACATGAACCATGAGCTTGTCCATTACTGGATCATCCTGTCTCCCGACGTCGTCTTTGATGACAATCTCGGCGACCCTGTCGTTAAAGGACGTGGCCGTCCAGCCACGCCGTTGATTAGCAGAGAGCTGCGTCGATGTCGCCGCTGGCGTGGCTAGCACCCTCCCGCCGTGTCTGGATGGCTTGCACTTGACGCGCACTGCCGAGTTTGAGGGGTCACGGTGGTACGCATCATCCAGCACTCCTGTCCAGGTATCCGCAGAAGCCTCGGTGAGCACCAGAATCCTGGCGGCTCCTATCGCAAGCGCCTGAGTGCAGAGAGGCCAGAACTTACCCAGGGAACTCTCGCCGCACATCTCCAGCTGTAGGGCGTCAGACATGCTCGTGAGCCGTTCGAATCCAAAGAAGGTGGAGACTGGAAGATGAAATCGGCGTAGGTATAGCAGGAGTGCATTCTGCGCCACCTCTGTTAAGCCATCGGGTAGGACGACATCGATGGTGATTCGAGTGGCAACCTTCGTGCTGAGCAGGCTGCAACAAATCGCCGTTCAGCCATGCCGTCTGGGCCAGCCTCAAGAAGCCGGTCAGGTCCTTAAAGCGCATGTCGAAAGTGACGGGCTCCACTGTGTCCACCACCAACATGGCATTCTTGGTGATCATTCTCGGGATTGCCCTGGGGCTGTCATGCCTCAACGCAAACAGTGCCAAGCCTCAACAGCAGAATCGTCATGGTCATCAGCAGCATCATCACCACCGCACCACCAGTATCGTCGTCGTGGCCGCCGTCCTCGTCGTCGTCGCCTTCTGTGTCGTCGTGATCGTGGTCGTGATCGTGAACATCAGTCATCACCACAATCACACTCACGCTAACCATCACCACCATATCACCACCATCACCACCATCAACATCACAATCATCAGCATCACCAATACCATCGTCTTCACCACCAGCCGCATCAACATCAACACAAATATTGGCACCGTCATCATTATCAGCAGCAGCACCGTCATCAATACCATCATCACCATCATCACCAGCATCATCGTCCTCATCATGCTCATCATCATCATCAACAGTCTGCATCATCCAATCACCCTCATCACTATCATAATCCTGATCATCCGAATCCTTTTCAATCGTCCTCAACATCATCGTCACAATCATCCTCCTCATCCTCATTATCATCAGCAGCATCAGCATAGATCCTCATCATCATCCTCAGTATCATCCTCATCATCATCCTCATCAGAATTAGCATCAGCATCATCATCATCACCACCATCATCATCAGCAGCAGCAGCAACTTCATCATCAGAATCAGCATCCCTCGCGCCGCGGGGCTTGCGTGGCAGGGTCGCTTCAGGGTCTCCGCGAGGAAAAAGCTCTCCATTCGGTCCAGGTGCCCCTGGCGTCGGAGGCAAGGGGAGGGAGGAAGGGAAGGGGAGGGGAGCGAGTGAGAGAGTGTTTCAGTAGGAGGGGGAAACGCGTAGGAGGAGGAAGAAGAGGACGAGAGATGAAGGATGAGTGAGGGAGAGGGGAAAAGGGAGAGAGGAAGGAGGAGGAGGAGGAGGAGGAGGAGAAGAAGGAGGAGGAGGAGGAGGAGGAGGAGGAGGAGGGAGGGGGGGTAAGGCACTGATGACTGAGGGATGACGGAGAGAAGAGGAGAAGGAGTAGGAGGGAGCAGTGAGGCACGAGAATGGATAGGGAGAAGCGATGTGCAGAGGAGGATCAGAAAGACGATGGATGCGAGCCCAACCCCTGCAAGCAACAATGTTTCTCGCTAGACCCTCCTACTCCTGACTCGCTGAGGAGCGGGCAACGACAATACCCAAGACCCTCCTACATCTGATTCTGGTCATCTGTCCTCCTCCTCCTCCTCCTCCTCCTCGTACTCCAACTCCTTGTCCTTCCCCTCCTCCTCCTGCGCCTGCTCCTCATCATCTCCCTCCCTTCCTTCGCTCCCTCCTCCCCTCATCCTTTTCTGCTCCTACTACCCCACTTCCCTCTCTTCCACCTCCGTTCCTTATGGATAACTCCTCCCCGTCGCACCCCGGGGCCGGTCGGAAGAGCGGGCCGGGCGTTTCGCCTAAGACGCCGTGGCTGTTGATGATCCTGAAGTTAACCAGTTGGCAGCGGCTTCACGGATGGAGGGCGGGCCGCTCTCGAAATCTGGCTCTCGCACCAGCGCCGCGAACGTGCAGCTTCAAATTTCCAAGAGGTTTACTGATGGAGGGCGGTCCGTTTTCAAGATGCGGTTCTCGCTTCAGCGCCGCGCACAACCATCTTCAAAAAGCGCATGAGCGTCAAGCATTGAGGGAGGTGCGTTTTCGAAATGTGGCCCTCGCCTGAACGCCGCGAACACGCGTCTAAAAAATGCGCCAGAGCTTCACAGATGGAGGGCGGTTGGTTTTCACAGCGCGGCTCTCGCGCTAGCGCCGCGCACACCCGACTTTAACAAAATGTGATTGTCGCCATGACGCGGCGCTTATACGTTTTCGAACATTGGAGAAGTTTTACGGATTCGAAACGGTACTTTTTCAAAATGCGGCTCTTGCCGCAGCGCCGCGCACATTTGTTTTGAAAATGCGCAAAACTATTTACGGATTGAGGGCGGTTCCTTCGAAAAGGTGGTTCTCGCTTCAGCGCTTCGCGCATTCGTTTAGAACATTCACATACAGTGTCACGGATTAAAGGCGGGTGGTTTTCGCAATGTGGCTCTCGCCTCAGCGCCGCGCACACTCGACTTAAACAATTGTAAGAGCTTCACGGACGGAAAGCGGATGATCGCAGAAGCTGGCTCTTGCCTTGGCGGGCGCACACTCGTCTTCACAATTTGCAGCTGTTTCAAGCATTCGATCGGTTAACGCACCAGGAATCGCATTTTGGCTGGATGTAGGAGAGCCAGGGCGCAACAATTTCATTAGTTCGCTGTGTTGAAGTCGCAAGGATGGTGTTCTGGCGGGCTCCGTGGCCGTCAACACGCAACAGTAACGTTGATTCGCGGCGCTGAAATCCCACGAAAGGCGTTCTGGCACGACTCCGGATTCTCAGACGCTTGTCCCCCAACGGGGCCAATGAGGAGGGAACTTAGAGGGAGGGTTTATCGGAAACTTGTTGATGAGTCTTGGGTTTACACTGGTCCTCCTCCTCTACCTCCTCCTCCTCCTCCTCCTCCTCCTCCTCCTCCTCCTCCTCCTCCTCCTCCTCCTCCTCCTCCTCCTCCTCTTCACCCGGCCTTGGACGTGTCGCGCACGTCCTTCAACGAGGCGTACCTGCGTCCAAGGGGAGGCGCGGTGCAGGCAGCACTGGATAGAAGAACGAGCTGCATATACATAAACTGTCGAAGGCCGCCGCAGATTTCTTGGATTGGCGCTGGGCCCCCCTGGCGGCGCCGCCGTTCACGCCATCGAGGGGCGGGGGGCGGCGATTGGCGCATCTCCAGAACTGGCCGTCGCTCGGACGTCCATTTCCTGTGTTGTTTCCGGTTTCGCGCGTGGTTTTTTCGTGACATGATCAAGGATGCTCCCCGATGGGCCTCGCCGAAAGAAAAATGCACACGACCGAGCGATGCCAAGAGAAGCGCGTGCACATGGAGAGGGGAACTAAGGCAGACAGCAGCAGCAGCAGCACCACCACCACCACCAGGAGGCCCGAGGGGAGGGGAGGTTGGGGGGAGGGACAGGGGGAGGAGTCGAGGAGGGGCGGACCGAGGAGAAGGGGGGGAAGGGACGGACGCATGCCGCCCGCTCCTCGTGGGCCCCCGAAGGTGAGGCCCAGCATCAGCAACACAGAATCAAACAACAAACCAACAAACAACAACCAACAACTGAAAGGGGAGGGGGGGAGGAAGGAGTACCCTACGCCCTAAAGCGCGTCGGCGCGGCATGCGCTCAGGCGAACACGAAAAAAATGGTCGATCTCGAACAGCGTGTGGGTGTAATTGCTTGGCACATTCCAACCGGAGGCCCCCAGTTTTCCGCACGTGCATGTCGTTCACTGGCGTCAGGGGCTTGGGGTGAAAGACGGAATCCCATAGCGGGCACTCTGTGCCGCCCTGTGCCGCATTGCAACAGGGGAGGGGGGAGGGGGGAGGGCGGATCGACTCGGCAGGGAGAAACGTCAAACCACGCACCGTCGTCTGGGCACCCCCCCTTCGGGGGGGGGGGGGCATCAATGTAGAGCCCAAGGCTCAAAACCAGCGGTGGCAGCATTTACATCCCGCCCTGCCCAGCGGATCGAAAACACCCAGACCCCGACCATCCACCCTGGAGGAGGGTAGGATAGAAAGGAGGCGCACAAGGGGCAACTCAAGGGGGGGTCAGCTCAGAGGGGGGAACATCGAGCTGGAATTCCCGATACACCGCCGATATGTCGGCGATGGGACCCCGACAGCGAATGCGAAAGCTCCTGGGCGGGGTAGGCTATCAGGCCCCTATCGGCGATCACTGGGCGGTTGGCGTCGACGTATTCCCCCTGAGCCTATCCACCCCGAACGTTGCACCTGACACGAGGGGCGCGCGGGAAAGGGGCAGGATAAGTGGTCCCAAAGAGTTTCTGCGTTGTGCATGCGCCGTGCTCGCTCCAAGGTGCCAGAGTCATGGTGGTGCGCACCTGATGAGTGGAGAGCGCAGAATTTTGGACGCCCGAAATGGGTACGGAAGAAATGGGTACAATGCCCAACAACCAATGTTGTCCAAAACCGACAGCGGCCGCTGTTGGGCGGGCGGATGTTTGTCTTCAGTGGACAACGTCCGCGGCGGCGCGGACAGCGAGTCCTGTTCAAAACGAACACGAACTGTTGTTGGGCATCGTACCCATTCGTTCCGTACTCATGTCGATCGTCACAAAAAGCAAGTGCAACGTTCGTTGGGGAACGCCCCCCGTGGCAAAGCGGCGAGCAGCATAGCCCTCGAGGAACGAAGACAGGCAGCAGGCGGGCGCACCCGCTCGGCACCCAGAGGTGCTTCTCGAACGCCTGCCCGCCGCTCTCCACGGCCCGGCGCATAGGCTTCTGCGATATGACGGAAAAACCACGCAGCGAGGCGACGCGGAAGAACAGGCGTCCAACGCATAACCGACTGTGTTGTGCAACCGTTGCTGTGTGTGGATGGCGCGGGAAAACAAGCGTCCAACGCATCATCGACAGTGCTGTGCAACCGCTGATGTGTGCGCGCGTGTGCGTTTCCCTTGTTCCTCTCGGCCGCCCCCCGTCTCGTTGCCCGCCGGCCAATTCGCGAGTTTGTGCCAAGTTCTGGCTTCCTGCTGGAGCGGAATTCGCCGCCTCGGCGCTAACGGAAAAAGTGCGTGCGTGCGAGTGCGTGCGTGAGTGTGCGCTTATACGCCATGTCGCCGCGCGCAGGGCCGCGACTCCAAAACATGTGCGAGCGTACGGGTACACCTCTAGGACGTGCTTTTCTTCCCGATGTTCTTCGGCCAAATTGTTTCCCTTCCCTGTGGCACGCCCGCCAGAAGTCAGACGACACGCGAAACATCTGAAATTTAATGGCGGATCCGCCGGCCCCCTTGTGGGGCCACCAGGCTGTAGGCGCGGGTTCGCAGTTTCCTGTACCAGTTGTAGCTTGTAGTTTCCAGTGTTACAGTTCTGGTTACTGTAACTAGTTGACTTCTTGCTGGTTACTGTAACTAGTTGATTGACCGCGCGAGAGGGGGGGAGGCCCAAACAAGACTTTTAGCGTCCCCTGGGCGCGTTGTCTGAATTGCTGGGGGGGCTCGAAATCAACACCCCTCACGCAGATCCGCGGGGTCAGGGTCCAAAAACACACGGAATTTGCCACATTTCTGAAAGTCGGTGCCACCCCTCACGCAGATCCGCGGGGTCAGGGTCCAAAAACACAAGAGATGTGCCACATTTCTGAAATTCGGTGCCACCCCTCACGCAGATCCGCGGGGTCAGGGTCAAAAAACACAAAGGATTTGCCACATTTCTGAAACTCGGTGCCACCCCTCACGCAGATCCGCGGGGTCAGGGTCCAAAAACACATGGGATTTGCCACATTTCTGAAATTCGGTGCCACCCCTCACGCAGATCCGCGGGGTCAGGGTCCAAAAACACATGGGATTTGGGTCCATGTGTAACACATGGGATTTACCACATTTCTGAAATTCCGTGCCACCCCTCACGCAGATCCGCGGGGTCAGGGTCCAAAAACACCGGGGATTTGCCACATTTCTGAAATTCGGTGCCACCCCTCACGCAGATCCGCGGGGTCAGGGTCCAAAACACAGGGGATTTGCTACATTTCTGAAATTCGGTGCCACCCATCACGCACATCCATCGCAAGGCGTGGTAACCCAAACTGCGAGTACTCCCTCGGCCGTTTAATCCCAAGGTGTGGTAACCAAGCTCGTAAACCATACACGTCTTACCAATCGCCCTGTGTGGTAGCCCCTCTTGTGATCAGTTGGTTCTGCCGATTGCGAATCGGCCTCGCATGAAGTTCCGATACTGCTGCACGACAGCGCCAAAGCCTCATGACTTAGCTCTTCCATGGCCCATTCTCCGAGAGAGGGGGGGCCGGCGGCAGGGGGCGAAGTCCTTACGGATATACTATTTGGTCTGCGGGCTCGCGAGGCAAGTCGAAAGCCGTCCGAACACTAGCCGGGCCGCGACTAGGCAGCGAGAAGAGAGAGAGGCAAGCGAAACGAGCGCGCGTGCAGCCACTCAGGAAAAAACGCACAACAAAACAAAAAACAAAAAAACTGTGTGAGTCGGTATAAGGCCCGACAAATACGAGCAGGACCGACAGGCACGCCAGGACGACGTCTCCGTGCTGTAGCCGTAGGCGACACAACAGCAGCGTGTCAGCGCCGGAGCGAAGAGGGGGACAACCTCGTCACAGACAAAGACTGCAGACGGCAGAACCTCTCGTTTGTACAGCGGTGGCACATGTCGAAAGCGAAGTCCATGCAGGAGAACGCAGCCGACGGGCGCACAGAGCCACACATGCCGAAGTCCTTGCCCCGAAGAGGACGGCAGCGTAGCGAAACCCCACGGTGCCCAAACGGTCACCAGTGGAGGCTGACACCAAGCAGGAGCAGGCCAAGGGCCACCGGACCGCCCATCCCCACTGTGACTCTCGCGAAGAATTCGAAGCGAGACCTCACGGAACCCTCCCCGTCACCAGTGGAGGCCGACACCAGCCAGGAGCAGGTCAGGGGCCACTTGACCGCCCGTTCCCAGTGTGAACCTTGCATGGAATTCAGGCTGTCAGAGCACCATCAGACAACGGCATTGGCGACAACCCCAGCCGCGCGGGATAAACCTGGTCAAACGAGGGGGGGAGGTGCACGCCAAGCACGGTAGGCATTCCGTTGTGGCAGCTAACCCCTGCGGCAATAGGAAGCAGGAGACACGGGCACCCGGGCCCCACTGAACCCTTTCGGCAATCAGCGGGGGGGGGGGGGCGCCGGCCTAAGGCAGCCAGTAGGCACGTCACCGCGCGCCCTCGGCGCAATACATGTCGCGAGAACAAAGCTCGCAGAGCACCGACCGACAGCGGCATTGGCGGCAACCCCAGCCGCGACGGAAGATCCCAGCGAAGCAGGACAGGGAGAGTCAGCTAACCGCTGAAGCAAAAAGAGAAGGAGGAGGAGAGCTCACCATAACCCTGCGTATACTGACGCGCACGCCAAGCGCTCTGTATCGAAGCATACCTCAGTAAACCCGCCACTGGCACGAGTTTGCCATCGCCCCCCACACGAAGCCCCGGGGAAAGCTGGGCTCTTTCGGCCGCGACACAGCGCGCAGTCGCGGATGATGAGGTCTTCCATTGAGCTAGCACACCGCCCCATATGCGCCAGCGGGCATAGGCAATGCACGCTTTCTTGTTTAGCCACGCACTAGTTACTGCAAGAGCCCTCAAGGAGGCGCCGTCGATGAAACATTCCGGGCGCTCTTCAATGGGACGCTCGACAGGGGCAATCACGGTGGGCCGCCAGTCTGAAGCCAGCGTTGAGCCACAGCGACTGCGAAGGAGGCAGGGGGGAACGGAGAGCAGGGGAACGCGGCTAACCGCCGCAAGCAAACGAGAGCGAAATAGCAATGCAGGCGCATGGCGCTGCTAGGTGCACCACATACCCAGTGCGATGACAGAGGCGTATCTCGACCAGACTGGGCGATGCCCCACACCCAATATTACGGACGATACCGCTTCTCGTTCCACGAACTCCATGGGCTCTCGGTCACTCGTTTCCTCCTCCCAGACTTGCCCAGTGAATCGGGTCCGTCCCTCGTCTTGCCTTTCCCCTTGTTCGGGCGTTCTCCCGCTGCGTGGAACCTGGAGGAGGCGGCCCCGCTGCTGCCGGTAGCCCCTGAGCTGGAGGCGCCACTGACAGCCGTGAGCCTGTCAGTTGGGCTGCGAATGCTGGCCTTGGCGCGCAGGATCTGGCCGGCGCTGTGCACGTCGTAGTTTGCAGCCCCCCACGCGCTGAGGAAAATCCGGCACGCGCCCGGCGGCTGCAGTGCTGGGTTGAAAGTCGGCCATGCGTTAGCGAGGCAAATTTTGGTACAGCGCGCGACCCACAGGTCGCTGAACATGCTGCCTAATTCCTTCCGCATCCTGAGGACGAAGGCGCCGTCGGACCCCCAGGAGCATTGTGAGTCGATCGCGCGCAGTGGTGCCTTGTACATCTTGGACCCGTCGTTCTTCTTGGGCTCGTGGATTAACAGTGGATTCTTGGAGAAGGGCACCCATATGCCATGATTGAATATCCCGTCGTTTCCCGCGCGCATGTCCTCGCGACGCCAGGCGTCGCCACGAGACTGCGTGGCCTGGCGGTCTGAGGACCTGCTAGCCCCACTGGTCCCTGTATCCGCGCGAGGAACCAGTCCTGTCGTCAGCGGTGCGCTGACTGGGACCATCTCGATGTTCTCGTCTGCCGCTCTGTTCCCTGCCTCGGGCGCGCCCTTCTGGAGGGGCCCAGCGCGGCGGACCCTGCTTCCTCGGCGGCGGGGGCCTATCGCCAATGACGCTGGATGTCCCGTCGTCAGCCGTCCCGGCGTTCTGACCATCTCTTGTAGCTGGGCTTCCTTCAGGCTCGTCTGCCACTTCCGCTTCAGGCTCCTCGCTCACCTTGCTCGGGTCGTAGTCCAGGTCATCACCGCCAGGGCCCCTGTGTTCATCTGTGGCGGCAGCAGGCTCGCTTTCTGAGCTGCTCCTGAAATCTCTTGTCACTGTTCGTACACCTTCAGGTCGAGACGGTGGCTTGCCGCTTAAGCCCGCGCCAGGGTTGGCAGGAAGTAAATGCCCCCCGAGAGAGGCGTTCATGACCGCGCTGATCAAGGGGCCCAGCCTCTTCTCCTCATCGCGTGTCCGCTGGGAACCAGGGTCGCACTAGGCCAAGATGTCCTCCTTGGCGTTATCAGCCCACGTGGCCATTCGCTCCTTAGCCTGCTGAGATAACATGATGATGAATGGTGCAGTGGTACGGGTTGAGGCGATTGGACGAGAACCTATCCCGCGTGGGCGCATGCATGTGTCCACTGCTCCCAAGCTAACGCGGTCCAGACGTATCACATGGTCGGGGGCGTCCTCGATGTCAAGTCTGGCCAGTCAGTGAGCAAATTCGTCTGTGCTGTGGACCCTCTGGTCGTTGTCCCCGTGGAGAGTTTCGCTGACACATGCCACCTGCAGTTTCTTTAGCCGATCGCCCTACCCGATAAGGTTTTGCACGACCAGTCCAGCGACCCATCTTTTACCACCCCACTCCGTGCCTGGCACCAATCCGTCGGTAGTGAGTCCCGCTGGAGGAGGCGCCCACGCCATAGTGGAGCAGGCCAGGACGTTGAGCCAGTTGGCACCCAACCCTATGCCTGGCATCTCGTACTGGTTCGCCAGTACAAAGAAGATGCCGTTGGCAACTGCGTTGGTACGTCTGAGGTGCAGGCATATTTGAACTGGCGCGTGCCCCTGCGTGCCGCTGTTGTCGTCAGCCCACGCGGAGCAACGTCAAAGA